CCCCGGCTGCTGCGGCGGGGGAATCTGCAGGCCGGGGCTCCCTGCCGCGGCGGCACTGCCCGGCCACGCTGCTCTCCTTAGCTGTGCTACCTGGAAATGTGCTCTTTATATATTTAACAAACGCCAAAAGCAGTCCCGCTCGTGCTGAACTAGACCTTTCCAATAAGGCAGAATAAAATCTGTTTTGCCATCTTTCAAATTTTACAACTTCCCATTAGGTTTCATAGCTTTGCATTAAGGTGAAATTTGTGGGCATTAGTACAACTGCTGGGGTCAAACAGCAGCGCGGCTACTGCCGCCCCCAACCTGTTGGCCACAGCGGCCTGAGCAGAGGCCTCCTGAAGTGCACGAGAGCAAAGCAAGGTCTCTGCGACGCTACTCCCCCTCTCTTTTCAGACCAGGGAGGGTCCTGAGCTGGGTATGGTCCCTACAGATCTAGTGACGTGTGAAACCAACCCTTGCGTGAACTGGTCTGGTCTCCCTTTGAACTCATGCAAACTTTTGGAGGCCTCCTGAACCACTTACCTGATTGTCCATTTCTCACACCCACATGGACATGCTGGTAAATATTTGTGACCAAAATTCAGTTCCTGGGAAAAAAAATCTCCTGAGCGACTAGGAATATTTCCTTTGAGCCTCACGAATGTGCCCTGATACAGTTGCCTCCTGGAAGCTTGAGAACCCAGGCAAGCAGTTCTGGTATTTTTGAATACCAGAAATTTGCAGCTGAAGAGTCTCCTTTTCAGCTGTTTACAGTGCTGCTGGCTTTTGTCAACTCGTTTCACCACAGAATTGAATTCAGGGTAACTGAAGATATTTCTGCCTTTATATCTGTTGGTCTATTAACTTACAGCAATTACTCTGCAGAGAGGTGACAGCTCCTTTATGGAAGTTATTGAATTCTAGTACTGAAAACAATGCATCAATAATGAAAGGTTAGTAAGAGAACACAATATACCTGTCTCACGCTAAGTACATATTTTAGAAAGATAGAAATGCAAATTGTTTTTTATGGATAATATTGGCTGCCATAGATAGCTGAGGCCTGAAATTCAGACATAAATTTTAAATATTTAAATTTACCTTCTGAGGAAAATCAGAAACATGAACTATTTATTACTGGGTTGACTGAGCAGAAAGGAGATGGGAAGGGGATGAAAGTGAGGGTCATCAGGATGCCTCACTGGGGTTTGTTGACCTTTAGAAGAACTCCCAATTAATTAGTAACCTTGAACATTGATAAATTAGATAATATTCTCTCAGCCCATTCTCATTTTTTATTCAGCAGAGAATTTCAGCTTTGTTCAGCAGAATAACTTCTCTTTACATACATGTAATACTGAATGACTCACCAAGGATTTAATACAAGGTTTAACTATTATGTCTCGAGTCCTTGCTTTCTAGCCTGCTCTTAGTGGTTTGCACTGCCCCAATAAACTCACAATAGCAGAGACACCCTACAACACTCAGGTGAAGATAATAGAGGAAAAAGGATGTTTGTTTCCCATCCATACATCTTTTTAGTTTTGAATAAAAACGGGATTAATGGGGATACTTACGGCTATGCTGTGCATGTGACCTTCCTTGTGCCAGCTCTGTGGCTGCATTCAAGGCTTTCTGTAGCGTCTCAAGGAAACTGAAGATTTTGTCCTTGAATAATGTTTGTTCTTTTTTTTTTTTCTGTATCTTCAAAAAAAAGCAGAAAAAAACTATTTTTCATGCATTTCCTATATCCATTTTGTATCTATTCTTTGTGAAAATCAACGTGCAGTTCCTAGCCAGTAACATCTTCTATTAAACCTCCCCTCGGAAGCAGGTAGGCAGCTGCCACCGAAAGCAGCCGGGCTGTGTCCTGCAGCTGGGACAGGGCTTCTCCTCCGGGCAAATACAGGGAGGCAGGAAACCTCCGTACGGAAGCAGTCCCGTTTTCAAGGTGCTCACATTCTCCTGTAAGAATATTGATTGCAGCTTGCCAGGAACTGGACAAAACGGTAAATCCCTTGAGTAGCTGTTATTTATGGACAAGGTGTCGAAGAGGCAAAAGGGTCATTTGGGCTGAAAATCTTTATAGCTTTAATGGGCCGATATAGAGTATCTAGTCTTTGTTTCATTTTTATATATATATACATATATATATATATATGGATAATGAATTATTCTTTTACGTTTTTTCAGACTTTTAGCTTATTGTTATCTGTATTATTTGCATTTACTGGCCAGGCATCTCTTGTACTTTTTGGTCCAAAAACATGCAATATTCAGTAGGACCAAGGTGCAAAAAGTTATCTGTCAGATTCATGTGTTTGCATGGCACTCCTTTGATGTCCTCCTGTATATGAAATATCGCAAAGTAGCTTCTGTTTGAGAGCAAATATTCTGCCTTGTGAAAAAATATTTACAGAGACTTCCCTTGTAACATAATACCATAAGGAGACAATATTAACCTGCCCGCTCAGGTTGCATGATCATCTATTAAACTGGTAAGAAAAATGCTGAGGAAAAATGAGTCACCTTGAAAGGACTACTAGTGCAGTATTTAAAAGACTGCTGCCCTTCTAGTTGTTTTCCTCCTCTTGGGCATGCCTCCACCATATCCCTAAACATCCAGCCTTTGCAGCCCCTGCTCTCAGCTGGTTATACTTGATTTCCTTCCCAGAATAACATGGTTATGTAGCTGCTTTTATTTATTGTCACAACAGTGAAAACAGGGTTGGCGAATTTAAGTGATCCCTCCTAATGGATGAGTGCCTCTTTACCAATAAATACCGTGGAGGGATCCTCATGCATAGAAGGATCCTGCCAGAACAGGCCGAGGAGCTTGCAGAAAGACAAACCAACCCAAGTGTTGCAGCTGGAGAGACCGGGGTCTGAGGAAGAGTCCAGGTGAACCAGGACGGACGCAGTCACACACAGACGGCGGGTCCCCAGGCTGAGGGACATCTGCCTGGCATGCAGGGTCTCATCTTCAGCTATGCAAACTGCTTTGTTCAATCCACTGAAATGTCTCCCACATGGGAAGTTATTCATGTGCTCTCAGAGGAACAGCAAAGATAGGAAATGATGGGCATAATGTGCTGGGCAGAAACTCCCACGTGTACAGGAGCTAGACAGGAGATATGCATTATCTGTAAGGTATAGCTGTTGAGCTGCCCTGACAAAGGAGGAACAACAACAATACAACAACTTCTCTAAAAAGGAAAGGCAACACAAAGAAACATAAGGTAAGAGAAATATTTATTTAAATTTGCACAATAACGAGCTTATACTGAACAAATTCAATCAAGAAATAATAGTAAGTGCAGTAAAACAAGGAAATATTGATGACTTTTCCCATCAGAAAACATTAAGAAGCCATGCCTGTGCATCACGGTTTTTGTTTTTGTGTTTTTTTTTACAATAACTTGTATCTTTTTTTTTCAGAGCACATACTGTACATAACACATCTTAGCTGCTATGTTCTTTATTCCTGAAGGCCTCATCCTTACTCATTCATACTCAAATGTCTGCTAATTTTTGCAGTGAGCAATCAAACACATTTATGCAGAACAAAATATGATTAGGTAAAAATCTCTGCATCTCGTCAAGTGTTGGACCCTCAAGCTTCAGAAGACTCCTAGTTCATTTTTGATCTTGACATTGTTATGTACATCATTACAGTGTGTCATTTTACACTAACCTAATATTCTGCATAATGATTTCAGACATATAAATAGCCAGAAGTTGGGCCTGACCTCACACAAAGGTTTATACATCTGAGATTTTCTTGAGTCCCATTAGTTTCACTCTGACTCCTCACTGAGTTCATCACATTCCTGCACTTTAGATGGACAAAACCAATCTAATTTCAGTTTTGATTTTGTAAAATTTTTGGTCTAAAGAACTTTTTTTTCTTTTTTTTGTGAAGGAAATTCTTTAACCAGAAACTGCTTGTGAGAGCTGGTTGTTAGTGTCACAGTTCCTGAAGGCACTGTGGATCCACTGAGCAACAAACGTGGCCATTCTAAGGGAAGAAACAACGAAAAGTAATTAATATCATCATATACAAATTCAATCCATTTAAGAAGATTAGTTATTTGCAAACACCCACCAGACTTTAACACAGATTTGTAAAATAGAGACATGTACAAACTTAGATCTGATTCATGAAATTGTCATCCTGTCCTTCACGCCCCCCAGGGAAGGGATGTGATGCTTCTTCTAACTGTGCAGTTTGCTGTTGTCTGCACCCTAAAGTTGCAGCAATTGAAAGAAGCTGAGATCGGCGAAAGACATTCAGCTGCTCTAAAGGTACCAGCTCTTTGTCCAGGGTACACACTGGACTGGGCTGTTGAACTGGGGCACTCTGTGTTTTATTTATTTTATTTAACTTAGACAGAAGAGATTGAGAGTTTTATTTAGCGCTAAGTGCTTCAAATTACTACATCCAGGCAGTAACACTGGCAAAGGTTAATTTGTAAGGTTCTTTCTGATAGTTTAGACGTTTTTTGGTTTTTGAGAATATTAGCAATTAATGGAACAGATTGCCTAAGACATGATTAAAAAAGATGGTGAAATTATGTTTTCTACATCCTCACTACTTCTTTCCTCAGTCTCAGTTTTTTCAATGCAAATAAAATGGATGTACTATTTTTAAATTAACTCAAACACAGTGAGATGACTGAATTGCCAGGACAGGTTAAAGACCAAGGTCTGAATCACTCAGATGTTTTCCTTCACTCTTTCTGTGACAGGAGGTTAGACAATCCTCCCGTTCACCTTCTTTACTTGTGATTTGAAATGGTTTTGTGGCTAAGGCAGCTTTAGCTCATGCCTGGCTCTCTGAATTCTTAAAGGATTTGTGTAAACCTATTTTGCTGTAGCTTGGTTAGAGAGGCTTATCCCAGAGCTTTGACCTTCCATGTGACGCTCTGCAAGAAAAGAGTGGGATGACACAGGACGAATGAGACAGAACTACACAAACTGAGCGCAGCATCAACCTGATCTGGAGGGAGAGGGCTGCTTGCACGCAGAGCTAAAATATTAAAATGCCATGAACATGAACAGATATTGTGTTTCTAAAAGAATACTACTCTGTGAAGAGAACTGAATAAGATTTGCTTGCTGAGGGACAAAGTGCTACATCTTCACTGTTGAGCATCACTGCCCTGTTGTATGTTTTGCACTGTGATATTCAAGGATCCATAATGTGGAAAGCAAAGCTACGTATTGAAAATCTGATTTAACGGCACAATAACTTTTATCAAGGACTCATGTTTGTGACTACCCACTGAAATATCTAATTCCAGGTAGCCGGGACACTGATACAACGGTGTTTTTTATGGGTTCTTAGAGCAAATTCTTACTTGAGCCATTTTAAATGTATGGAGTTTAGCAGAGTATCTGTTTCAATTGTGCAGAAGTTCACAATGCAGCAATAGATTTTAGTAACCTTATGTGTATGTTTACACCGAATACAAATTAGTCCAGGCCTACAGTTCAATCTTTGCTTAAGAGAGAAGGGCAAAGGGAGCTGGAGGCAGATGAACATCAGGAGAACTGATCTAAAATAGATTTCTTCTGCAGTGCCATCGATTAGCAGTATGAGAGTGAAAAACACATTTTGAATCACTGAATCTCTTTGTGCTTTGGAGAAGAACCACATATAATTAGTCATTGTGCAGTGAGGAAACCAAGACACAGAAACCACAGTGACTTGCCCAAGCTCAAACAGGACCTTACAGGGAAAAATACTGGACCAGTGGGAAAATCACTTCTTCCTCATCCCCTTGGTTGCAGCTCTCATTTGTTTAATCTTCTTCCCTCCAAAGTAACTCTCACCATTACAACTGGTGTATGCCACCAGTTATGGACCTCACTGACCCAGGTTTGTGCAGGTAGACCAGTCTCAACATCCTTTGGGCAACAGCTGGCTTTCTACCCATTGGCCACCAAGTCAGATCACAGAGTTTTCTCCTAACCACAGACCAACTCTGACATGGAGACAAATGCCTGCACTTGACCGAGCAGGTACCACTAGCCTAGTAAAAGGACTGTGCTTTCAGCAGCAGTGGCAAGTGCTGTTGTGCACAGTGTTGTGTCAGGCAGTCCATAGAAAGAAGGTGTCAGTGCTTAACAGCTTCTGCTGCATGATCAATTACTGCCTCTCTCTCCCAGGAGCAAGTAGTAAAATACACTATTTTTATGCACACCTTTTCAGAATAGTTTATGGTAGAACGTATTAGAGTTTGGGAAGTTTCCTCCTTGGGAAGGACATTGGATAAAGACCAAAGCAATGCTGAATTTCAAGAGGAGGGACATATCATTTGGATTAATCCTTCTGTATCTCTCTCCCTGACTATGGTGGAATCACTCTTTGTCAATCTTCTCTACTGGATTATCAAAAATATAATCCAATTTACTTAGAGTCTTATTTTGAATAGGAAAATCTTATTTTAACTTCTCTCTCTCTTGCATCTTTAAAAAAAAAAAGATGCTAGAATTCATGCTAGCCCACAGCTGTAATTTTTTCTCCTCAAACTAACTTCCTTTAACTATAAAAATTCTTAGATGCTGTAAACATTAGGTTGATTTTATTTATTTTAAAGAAAGAAAATTATATACCTATATAATTAGTAACATACTACCTATGTAACTAATATGTGAAGTATTTGATGGAGGAAATCAATCAGTTCTGTTAATTTTGTAGCATGACACAGAGCACAATTTTTGTGATCTAATCTTACATACCTGTTTGTTACTGTGTACATTTGCAAGAAAGCATGGAGCTGTACTGCAATCAAATCTGAAAGGAGCTATTCTCACGGAAAAGAGCAAGCCCTGTGACTTGCTCAAAGCACACTGCAGCATGGGCTCTTGTCCTGCTTCTGACCTGTTAGCGCATTAAAGCCATCACTCTAGTGCATGCAAGAATGAAGTTCACGAAACTGAACATTTTTACTCTAACCTCCTCTGCTTTTAAAGCAAGTGAGACACTGACTATCTACTGACCAGACTCAATGCATTAATATTTATATGCCGCAGAACCAACTGGGAAAGAGACATTGCAGCTTAACTTTACGCTCTTTACCTTGCACTGGCAGAGGGTGCACTCTGTGCCGTGCTTAATCCAAGAAGATCCAGTGAAGCGAACGACATTGGTTTCGTCCAGGCAGGTTTTGGTGATGTCATTACGGATGGTGTCCGCTTGGCAGGGGTCAGTGACGCAGCGTGGGCAACACTCATTCTCGGGGAGGACACTGAATTCACAATCCACCTCCGGACATGACAAGGGCCAACAATCAACTTCTCCTTGCTGTTAAAAAAATGTTTCGAGAACACGAGAAGATTATGAGTTATTGTTCTGATTTATTATTTGCTTTATTACCTCTTTCTCTGACTCAGCACTATGTTCCTTAGCCAACCATTTTTTCCATCTGGTCCTATTCAAAAGGTAGTGCAGAGATCACTAATATTCATTGCCTGTGGGGAACAGTAAGTTGGGTGCTTTTTGCTGCATGCTATTCAGGAAGGGTATCAGATTTAACTTATGTCAATACACCCTGCAACTGAACTAATTTTGAAATAACAAACTGAACTCTGCAACTGAAACCTAAACTTCATGAAATACGGAGTATGGATTTTTTTCTTGTTAAGTCTTACTTCTTCAAGTGGCAGAAGCTGCAACAGCACTATGTTTCAAAAGTGCTTTGACATCTCCTTCCTCTAGTTCTGACTTCTATTAAGATTGTTGATTCGGCATAAGAAACCCTCAGATGTTCAGTTCTGAAGGAGCTGCTTTTTTTTTTCCTCTGCTAAGTTTACAAGTCTATTGATTGTAGTAAGGATAGTAAACTGCCAGCAACACAGTTTTTAACAGGGAATGAAAGTGAAAGGACCTCGGCCCACTTACCACCCATTTTTGACATTATGATCAGATCACCTGATTTCTCAGCTAAATCCCACTTTCTGCACTTTACATGATGGGTTCAACCAGAAATTGAGAAGATCAAATGAGAGACTTGGAATGAGCCAGAATATTCTTTGGGGAAGTTACTGTGCTCCTGTACACAAATGTTAAGACGTCTAGTTATTCACTTCAGTTACTGGAAGTTGGGACCAACTTGCATCCAATTCTGGACAAGGGCCAATTTTTTACATCTATCAGTCAAAGAAAAGATTTCAGAGCGTTCTTAAATTAACACTCGTTTTGGAACAGATCTATCTCTGACCTAAAAACTTACTCAGGTCATTTGAGCAGAGAATGAGCAGACAGGATTTATGAAGGAAGGAGGAAAGAAATGAAGCAACATTTGGACCGGGAAAGAAGGTTAGTCAAAACTGTATCTAATTCTCTGAGCAATGGTGAGTTAAATAATGGTGAGTTAAATTTCTCCAGAGCAAAAGGTGAGAAAGATCCCTGGGAATTTGCCATAGCCCTGATTTTGCTCTTCTTGCCGCAGAAAGTATTGCAAAGTTTCTGTTTTATAAAAATTCTCATCTGGGTCAATTTTCCTCTCTCTCTTTTTTTTTTTTTTTTTTTGAATCATATGATGCTAAGAATGAAAGTAATCTTAAAATCCACTATTGATGTGGAACTTCCAATTTATTTCTTGGACTGAGGAACACTGTAAAGAGTAAACAAAAAGTTGGAGGAATGTAGCCTTTAGTTACATAAGTAGCATCTTGAATAATGAAGAGACATCTGTTGAAGTCCCAAGCTGTAGGTTGTCTTTTGTTTTGTTTTTTTGTTGTTTTGTTTTGAAGATATTTAATGAAGCACCTGGGAATCTTTTTCATTGGATTTTAGTTGAGGTAACACTGAAAGCTACGTTTGTCTACAGGACAAACGCTCTAGCTATTTTTCATGATGTTCTGACACAGGAAAGCTGCTAGATGGATGAAGCTGTACCCTTGGAAATTAACATGAGGGAAAAACTATTTGTTTTTGTCTTAAGATTGTTTCTGTCACAGTAATTTCCTGGACTGCATCAGGCAGAAGAGGTTTTGCCCAGAATCTAAAATATATGCCTAGTAAAAGGATCACAAGCTTTAAAAATACCTTTTTGTTGACTGCATCAAGTCTTATTGATATTTCTGTTACTGGAAATGTCTGAATGAATAGATTTTAGTCTATCAAAACCTTAGAAATTATCAGTTGTGATTATAATTTCATATTTATTTAGAATTTTCTTATAAAGCCTCACTTGTCTCTCAATTCCTGTGTTCTTGCACATATTCCACATCCAAATTACCTTCACTCTGTTAAAACAACCTTCATCATCAAATAATTTTGGGTATTCTATTATGTCCAAACACATTTTTGGCTGGAACTTGATAATACTGACAAATATCCATAAAAAATAAAACACATTTTAATCATGTACATACTCCAGAGGGAACTAAAAGGCTGCTAATGCACCAAAATGCACACAGCAAAATATCTCCTACCTCATTTTCTTTCTGTCTGTGTGCTGTAATCAGAAGCCTTACCAGGCAGCGACACTGCTGACAGTTCTGTATCCAGGTGTCACCGCTGTTGTAGGAAAGCTCTCCACTTTGATGCAAGCACTGACTGCTGAGCCGTGGGTCACACTCAGGGCAGCAAAATAGGTCAACGGTGGGATTCTCACAGTCACAGACCATTCGCCGGCACATCACATAGCCGCTCTGTTGTTGCAAGACAGACACAGAGCAAAAGCAGAAATCTGTGTAACTCCAACAGCAGGTGTACAAGAACTTGATTTGTTGGCACAGGTTCTAAGCCACTGGCAGATCAAGACAATTTCCACTATGTAACTTCTTTAAAACGCAATTTAATCAGAGGCAGAAACCACAGTGCACTCTGCCTAAGTACCACAAGTTCCCCTGCAGACTAATAGATCACTGCCCATTCTCAGTGTCTTACAGAAATGCTTCATGCAGCTAGTCTTAAGACAGTCTTGTCTATGGTGATAAAACCCAAGGGTGTTTCTCTCAAGGTCAAATTTGAAAGGATTGCATTAGCTTTATACTGTTCTTGTATAGGTGCTAGTGAAGTCTTGTTTTAAACTTCCAGATCAGTCCTCTTTTGTGCAGTTATTTACACAAGGAAAACAAAGTGTAGTATGAAATTAGATTTATGCTAATGAAACTTGCGTCTCTGAAATGCTCAGTACTTGGTCAGCAGTGTATAATGGCTCTTCATTCTACATGGACTTCCTCTACTTTTAGCTTGGGATCAGCATCATGGAGCAGACATTTGAGAAAGTTAAGCTGAAATTACCCTTCGCATTTGGAATCCATCTATATTTACAGCCATCTGCTAGAGATGATGGGTTTAGTTACAAGCACCAATATGTCTAGGCAGACAGTATCTATGAGTGGCAATGTCTTTCTTCCCACCAAGAAAAGACAAGTTGGTATCTCTACAAACAAAATAGCACTACATCCTTCTCACAGAATTGTATAATAAACTTCCCAAGGTAGTTGTGTCTGTGCGGGCTGGAGAGAGGAGGCTCTCCCCAAAACACCCCATAAAGTAACAATTTTATGTAGCACCAGCTGCATAGCAGAAAGGGCAGGAATTTCACTGGAATTATTGTGGTTTTCTCTTCAGCCCTACAACCGTCTTGCAGAAACAGCTAATTTTTATCTTTACTGACCTGGCATGAGCAGACAGAGCATCTGTCATTCTCCAGCACCCAAATCTGACCATTGTGTTTGATTTTGTCATCATGGATACAGTCTCCTGTGCAGTTCTTGCCATGGGGACATCGACAGTCATACCCACCATCCAAATTAAAGCAAATAGTGTCATTGGCGCAGCTATGCCTTCCAGTTCCACATTCATCAATGTCTGCAAAAACATGCCATGCAATGCTTTCAGACCACATTCAATTAACAAAAACGTTCTTTCTGCAGCCACTATAAATGATTCTTCAGATTTCAGCTGAAAATTAATTTGTGCTTCTTCAGTACAGGGAGAAATAATTCCAAGTTCATAAAATCATTTTTTCAAGTCACATTAACTTAAAACAAAAACAACAAAAAAAGAGTTTTCATCTATATTTTTCTACACAAATGCTACTGGGCACGCTAGATAAAATGAGGAAATCCCAAGAAACACAGGATGAAAAATAATACTTAGCTCATGAATCCCATTAGTTTGCAGTAAACTGTATTCATACGAGATGTTCAATTAAACAAGAAAGCCAGAGAAACTTCTTTCAAAACCTTTTGCTGTCTCTGTCTAGTACATTAGAGTTCACCTGCTAAGAAGTTAACATGAAAGGTGATGCTTGGCCTGCAGGCTCATTTAAGTAAGAACTGCCTCATCTATTAGGATATACAAACTGGAATATTTTAACTAGTCAAGTCGCAGTGTTATAGTGCTATAGTTTCTAGCTGTAGCATAGAAAATAAAGAACAAAATTAACGTTCCCAATCAAAAAAAAAGTCTTCAAAACAATCATATCTCAGAATTCAAGAGTGCCTTTAAAGGACAAACAAGGACAAACTAGCATCATATCTTCTGTCTTATACTTGAATAGCCCTCATTTAGCTTTGCAGATATCTGACTGGAGAAAAGTTAGCTAGAAAAAATTAGCTTTGAAAAGGCATGAGGTAAACAACAATATGTGATATAAATAAAATGTGGAAAACACTAGAAGAGTAAGAAGAGGCTAGGTCTGTGGCAAGTGCAACTAGCAGTAGCTCCACCGAGTTCCACTATAAATTTGATTTCATGACAGTCCAGCCCAAGCTCTTTAACTAGAGTTCATTAAAAAGTAACACTGTGGTATTTAACTATCCAACAGATTGATATGAGACAAAATAAGCAGCAGAGTCATACACGTGTCTTTCACAATCAGCACAAAAACTTAATACAACATTCAGTTTTGGTGTCAGCAATGGAAGTGAAACCTCCTTCCATTCAAGTCTGAAGGAAAACAACTCAATTATTTCAATTCTATGCGGCTGCAGACCAAAAAAAAAAGTAAACAGGTTGCTAACATGAATATGAATTGGGATGAAAAGCAGCATGCAAATTATTAGAACTTCATATATAAATAATCAGCACTGTGGGTTTATTTCAAATACTGTCTGCACTAAGAACGGATCCATCTTTAAAAAGAGAAAAAAAGAATTGCAAAACTACCAAGGCTTCTGTGAAGGATGAGAAAAGTATAATTTGAGATCTGGATAGAAATGGATTGTTCATCTCTAAAAGAACATTAGCAGGGAAGGGACATAACCAAAAATAACAATATATACATATATATAAAAAAAAACCCTCAGAATACTCCAGAGAATACAAGGTGAGAGCTTTTGTTCTCCATATGGAAGAATATGCTCTCCATATGCAAGAAAGGAGATGGTAAACAAAAGTGAAAGACAACAAATTCAAGTCTGACAAAAGGATTTATTTTTTCATACAATGCATAAAGAATCTATAATACTCACACCACAAGACATTGTAGAGAGAGAAGAAAAAAAAATCTCATATTCAAAGATGCATAAAACTAGCAAGAATATTCAGACTTGTAAGGCTAACAGATCTTGCAAGAAAAATTACACTTCTTGTACTAGGGTTTAGGGTGACCTTGCTTACCAGTGAGATAATCCAAAATGGGCAGATCCTCTCACATCTCCACACAGCCTACCTCATTATCCTCTGAAGCATCTGGGGTTGTTGTAAGAGGACAGAGGACAACCAGGATTATGAATTTAATTCAGTGTGGCGGTTCACACAGGCCCTAGCAGCTGAAACGTCAGGGATGCATTAAATGGGAAAATCCTTCCTTACCATAAGGAAAAATACTTAGTGGAAGAAATGACTGGGAAGCTGCTGAGCAATCTCCAGCCTTAAAGATGTTTAGACAAACATATAACAGGAAGGACTGATTGGTGCTGATCTGAGCTGAGGGGTGGAAGATCTACTCTCCTTTTTTTTTTTTTAACTCCACACTGAAAGTGATATAATCTAACAATTTAACAACCTATTTGTTTTTAAGTTACACAATAAAGAGAACAACAATTTCTCCCCCATTTAAAATATGATTAACAGCAGTATTCTCTTTATTATTCAAGGCATTTTTAATAAAAAGCTTTTAGATAATTGTGTTCATTTCTTTAAAACACACTTTCTTACAAAACTTTCACATATGTAGTGTCATCAACAAGTAATACCTCATCTAAACAAACTGTCCACTCAACCCAGAACAATTATATTATATGAGATACTTGGACAAAATTCTGCTGTCCTGTAAACAAGAACAGTTTCCTTTAAACAACAAGTAGTGCCTGTATAAACTGTAAATCTGTGTTCGGTGCTTATGTACGAACGCATTTCATAACTTGTTCGGGGGGAAAATATTTCTGGGGTATGTTTCTCAAGAACAGTCAGTAATAGTTAGTGTATTGATACTGAAAATAGTCAAGGTTTTATCATTGACAAGTCCAAGCACTTCTGAAAAATCCCAACTGTTGTTTTTTAGTTGATTGATAAAATTGAATGTCCTGGATTGGATAATTTATATATCCCAGGTCAAAGCAGAAGCTATTTAGGCTTTGATTCTAAGCTAATCAGAAACAGCCCTGTCACAGCAAGAGAAACACAAGCTTACAAGCATTAAATTTCTCAGTGGCATCATTCACTCACAACAAACTGCTGTCATTATCTGCAAAGAACTTATGCACAAGTCATCCATGCCAAGCAAAATTTCACTAGCTCTTTTCCTCTGGCTTTCCATGAGACAGTGAATTATGCTACGGACATTTTGTTTAGAGCTAGAACCATCTCTCCAAACTCTGTACCTTTACAGACAGTATTCACTGGCCCTGCATCTGCTGCTGCAGAATATAATGGTGGGAGGATTACAGGTTGCATATTTCCAGCATACTGAGTCACAGAGGTTTATTATTATCACTCCCATATCATTTTTTTAAAAAACATATCTATTCACTTTAGGCTATTTACAACACATTCCCTAGGAATCAAACAGCTTGAGTATTTTGATGTTAGAACATTGAGTCTCAAAAGACCTGAAGGTTTGCCTCAGAAAAACAACCAAAATGTCACTAGTTATCTAGTGCTAAATTAAGGTCCAATTTTTATTTAACTAATCCATACTAAAAATTGCAACAATTTTATCTAGCACATTTTAAAGGATTTTCCATTTAACCCTGTCATCCCAGAGAACAACTGTATTACAATGACAAAAGAGACCCAGGGATGCAAAAGTAATGCTATATCCTAAAGAAAGGAGTTAACTGTATCCAAGTAATTTAATGGCTCAACAGGAAAAATACAAGACTAGGGGTATACAAAATGGTCACCGTTACTGGAATGATGAAACTCTCTGTTTTCACGGTTTAAGAGCAGCAAAGACAGGTAACTCCATTAAAAAAAAAAAAAATCAGTAGCACCACATAGACTGAGTTAGTGCTACAGCAGGATGCAACCCAAGACTACATTATAACAGATTTAATGACTGTTTCTTGGAGCATATAGTCAAAGAATCCCAAAGGCAGAAAGCAACATTTGACTCGGCCCTGAGCAGTGTGCAGGCTCTAATACAACTGCCACTGCTGAACAACCACTCGGTACTGGTGACCACTAATGACCACAACGTATGCAAGTTCAGCATTCCTAAAGGTATTAAATAGGCCGCACAAATTCACTCTGATAGTGCTTAGTTTTGAAAGGAGAGCTATGTTACAATGATGAAGCTTTTAAAAAATGAATGAGACTAGCAACCAAAAATATCAGATGCTTTTAGAAAGAAGACACTGTATTATAGATTCAGGGTAAATGCACACTGCTAATTAAGAAATACTTTAAAAAGGGGTTCCAGATGATATAATGTACCTTTTTACTCAAAAACTTTTGATGAGCTCCCTTGCACAGTACATACTCTTAAGGAAAATAATCTGCCATGGAACAAAGGGGGCAGTCAGCTCATAGACTGATAACTGGTTAATTATTAAGTAATAAAAGGCAGCAATAAATGGCCAAGTTCTACAATGGACAACTGTCCCAAGGGAGTTCCACAGAAGTCTCTGTTTGAACATGCGCTGTTCAAACGGGTTGTTGATAATGAAGTATTAAGGACAAAAATCATCTGTGAAATATTTTGTGATATTGATGGAATAGGCAATAAAATGGCTAGGGAGATTCAAATCCAAGGCACAATACCCATTCAAAAAACAGGTCACTCTTTTAGATCTATTTTGGAAAGAGATACTGGAGTTACCATGGATAGCTCAAAAAAGGTCAATTCAGTACTCTCTGGGACAAAAAAAAAAAATATTTATAACTACAAAAGAGAAAACTCAACAGATTTGTTAGGAATGCGGACAAAACCCAGCAACAAAAAAAGTTTGCACCTTTATAAGTGGTGACAAAGAGCTTTGATGTAACTAACTGTAATTTTCTCCTTTTCCTCCTCTTATAAGACATCCAGACGTACACTCATGATGTTCACATAAAGCCGGAAAGCATCTCCTCCAGACAAGGTTTCCTAACAGATATATTCTGGTAACAGTCAGAGGCCTGTGCATCTTTGTTAAGAAGAAACAGTTCCCTAGGTTCCCTAGGAAGAAACAGCCCCAGAAACAGGGCTGGGGCAGTGGATGCTTCCTTTAGCCTGGAACTACTGAGGTAACTGAATACCTCAGCTCTGAGGAGCAGTGTTACCTCAGTAAGGTAGCAACTATGAGGATACCCGGAGTATTTATTGCTTAAGGCAAAACAGCAAGACATGTAACTGTTAGGGAGCCCAAAATCTTCCAGATAGAAAGTTTGGTTTCTATTCTTGTCTACTCCAAAGCAATCTATTGACTGAGGTTACCATTCTTCAAATAGCAGATCAATTGAGTATAATGTACTTGTGACTTGCCAAAAGTCACATGTCAGACTGATCAGGTGATGTGGAGGATGAACAGCTGAGATGGACTTTGGATGCTAGTAACATGTAGTGTTGTTTCTGATACACTAAATATGTTCAAATTGCCAAACTTCACAGTGGCAAGATACCCTGTCCACATTAGTCCTTTTATAAAATATGAGAAACTCTCTCATCTCTGGAATGTAGGCCTCCTGCCTACAGTAGGCCAAGTGGTAGGCCTGCTGCCTACATTCCAGAATATTTAAATACTGATTTGTTTCCATAGAAATCATTTACCTCCTATCTGGTGATGTTTGCATTGTGTTCCCACACCTAATACTGAAACTTTAAATAGGTAAGTTTGGGAATGATGGACTGCAGGAAGATCTAAATGTAGAGTTAGGAATTGACAGTGGTTTTAAACAAGGGAAATCTCATGAACATGCTAGTCCATTCAATGTACTGTGATATAAAATCAGACATCCTGATGGTAAGCAATTCCTCTGCCCTCTAGATCCAGAGATATGAATGCTGAAGTGGCCGCTTTTGACTTTGTTCTTTCAGGAAGATTGAGGAACATGCTGGCGTCTCTAATTAGCCTACATCACTCATTATTCTGGGTTATGGAAAAAAAATTGTTCAAGGAGAGTCCTACCCCTCTGACTGGGATCCTCTTTTTGAATTAGCTTGGGCATTTTGGATTGATGTTTTCCAATGCTTTCATTTGCAGCTGTCTCATCTAAAGAATTTGATACCTGCTGAGCGTGAAGATATTTTGCTCCCACCTTATATATCAACAACAGCTGGTATCTGTCAGATGCTTCTGGTTAAGTCCAAAGGGGCTTCAATTAATTAGGTGAGCTATTCTTCTGACACAGAAGTGTGCAAGATGTCCAGCAACTGATGAGGTACATCCTGCACTATTTCTGGTATGAACTAATACAGCCTCTCTCTTCAACTGATTTTGAAGGCTTTTTAGACATTGCAGGGAACAGATTCAAAGGAATCAGGATCTTACAGAGAACTGAAGAACAAATGGTAACTGGGCCTAAATATTCTTATTCTAGGATTTTGCCCTCAGAGATTCCAGTTTTTGAATACAATGAAGTTTGAGGCTGCAAAATCTATTATCTCAGCTTACCTCTCTTTATGAAATAGTAGGTGAGAGACAAGCTTTAGAGCACCAGTATGACTGTGTAAAGAAAAGCCATAGGGGGCTGAAGGGAAAGAAATATACCATGCTGAATGCAAATGCCTATTTATATCTCTATAAAATTTGAGACTTTCCAAACCCATGAAATACACCGAGGCAAAGCAGCAGACCTTTCACCACTTCTTGGGAAATAAGATGATGCATGACATAATTCTACTTCCAAGGGAGAAACAGCAAGCCCTGTTGCGAGGCGTTAAAGCCCTGCAGCCGCCTTTCACAGCATTTCTCCTGGTCACTGTTACTGAGACTACAGATCTGCCAAAGAGTATAATGTGAAACAAAACTAATAGCAAAGGAATCTCTAGATCTTCGATCATTTGTACGTACCAACTGAAATAAGATTATAAGCTGCACTAGTGCAAGTGCATTATTCTTCATATTCACAAGTGCAGCATTAGTCTAAATACTTGATATTCTCAGTTGTGCCAAAGAAGCAGCAGTAACCAAGGCCAATGTATGTGTAAAGTAGGCAGATCAGCAGCTTATTTCATTACTGAGCATGGATAAAGTCTGATGCTACCAAGGAATCCTAGTGGGACCACTTCCTGGAAAAAGTAGCAGGGGGCAATTTGGTTCTCCTGTTAAAGGTTTTGAAAGAAATGCTCCTGTGCCTCTGCGATCTTAACAGGGGTGTTTCTATCTGTATCTTTTAAAAATGGAGACTTCGCTGAAGGAGACAAAGGAGGTGACTGCCGCTGATCTCAGAAGTGCTCTCTGTAGCTCCAGACAGATATTCCGGGGACACTGACAGCCCCAGATTTGAGGCAGACCCAATAGAGCAATCAAGAAAGAAAACATTTGAATTCAGACATGAAAAATTCAGATTTGAGATTAATATAGAATGGAAGTTGTTACCCCATTACAGTAACTGTCTGAAGGGCCACCCACCAACATCTCAGGCTAATCACCTCTTTCCTAGGGGACACCGAAGAAGTGGCCAAATTGTCTTTAAACCCAGCAGGGGAATTTTTCACAGTGGAAAGGTCACTGGAGAAAAGGACTGCTTTGCAGCCTGTGTTCTGACACTGAAAGTTCACCTGCAATAGATTTGAGCCTTCTCTTCATACCTTTTTTTCAGATTTTATTTTCAGATCCAGATGCAATGTCACAGGCTTCAATCCAATAAAAAGTGATATAGTAAGACATCAATAAAATATCTAACTTTTTTCCTATCTCAAGCTGTTACATACTCCAAAATTTAGAGCTGCAATCAATAAGACTGAAAGTTTCCCATCGTTGGAAACTTGAAGACAGTTTCTTGGTATTCGTGAACTAATTCTAATCACTTGTTGGCCTCTGTGTGTATTTTTTAAAGAGCTGCTGATGCCTTGTGGAAAAGGCCAAGACATACTATTAATTGCCACTTCTGCATACATGTAACAACCTTTTGCCTCAGCTTTCCATTTGCCTAGGAATTGTTGCTTGATTTCTGCATGTTTGCACACATCCAGCAACAGATGTGCTGCTAAAGTTTCACTTTGGATGAGGAATCATGTATCTCTTAAGATGGCAAGTGCCACATCACTGCCTTAAACCCACAAGACAAATGGGATTTTGAAGTTGAAGATAAATTTGGGGGTAGCTATTGAGAAATATCTCCCCAAGTGCCTGGCTACGGTATTACTTGTGTCGGGGGTAAAGGAAGGGTGACCCTACAATCAGGGGAATCACAACTTCTTCAGAAGTCTTTGCACCTTCCTGTATTAACACCTGGCCAGCCAACACCGATGTTTAGCTTGTTCTTGCCAAAGAAAGTCGGACTTATAAAAGCAGTCGCTGACTCAAGTCGCTGGTTCCTCCTGGGAATACAGGCTTTCAGCTGTGGTGAAAATGTGTTGAAATAAAGCGTTGGTGATGGGGATCCTGCAAAGGTCATTCTTGCTCTCGGTAGGGAACAGTCTGTGTGTCTGCCTTACTAAAATTAATTCAATGCCTTCCCTTTGGGATTGATATTGCCCACCAGTGTGAATTTAAACAGCAAGGTGGGGAGGCTTACGCTGCGTGAGCACTGAACATTTAAGTATTCAGAGGAAGAAGAAAGAAAGACTACTAATTTTGCCCTAACTAGTCCATGATAAAAAAAGACAGGGTTGATCTCCTTTTTTTTAGAGTAGAAGTGTGTAAAATCTTAAAAGCAGAAGAATTTCATACTAAGAGATCTGCATCTGAAAATAACTCAGTACTTACAAAGCTACTGCTCCTTCTCATGTCATTCATAAAACAAAGAAAACCTTCAAGTCTCCTTGTCTCTCTTACACTCCCATCCCCGGCACCCCTGCCAGGTCACAGAGCTTCCCAGCTTGTAGGGTTATTCTGCAGCTTTCTAAAAGTGGTTGGTCTAGATACAGGAAAAGCACTGTGGTAATAACCCGAGTGTGGGTAGGGCTGTGAGAGCTGCATAATTATCCTCTGCAATGGAAAAGATCTGCAACACAGGCTATTTCAGTATACAAGAAATGAAGGAGAGAAACAGGGGTCTGGATTGAGGCCCATTTCCACATGTAAAGAATCTGACCCATGACCGGGTGACTGTGGAGTGACAGATTACAGTGCAGGCTATCAGCCCATGGTAAATGCGAGGTCACCTGCATTAGTTTAGCCTTCAGCACAAACTGCAGATCAAATGATTACCTCCTATCATGCTGTAATTTGATCTTGTATCTAAGCTTTCCTTTGCAGCTATCTAGCAAATAAAAGCCAGCCTTCAGAGAAAATTAAACAACCTTTGCTCCCTTTTGGGGAGAAAGAGGGAAAAAAAAATCCTTGGCTTTTCTATTTTAGGACTTCAGTTGCACAAAGAGGATGGGAGGAGATTGATCACTGAATATGATCTCTTTTTCCCAGTTCTTATGCAAGGGCCAGGCACAGAAGCAGAGGTAGTGCCAGAGATATTCTGATTTAAGTACTACTGACTTATTATCTTTAGTAAATCACTGAATCTTCCAGTGGGTCAGTGCTCCACCTATAAATTAGGAATATTTATATTTTCCTTTTTTTTTGTCTCCCATTTACTGCTTTTTTAGACTATGATCTATTTACGTCAAAGTTTAAATTTCCCCGATACAGTGCCTGCTAGCAATTAGAAATGGTAGATGTTACTGTAATGCAGGCAGTAACACTACCCCGTGTGCTTTAGATACTGACCTTCACAAGATTCTCCGCTTGGTGAAAACATCCCATTGTCATGGTAGCCATCCCTGCACTCACAGTGGTACCAGCCAGGCAGATTAATGCAGTTAGCACGGCTGTCACACTGAACAAAGCCATCTGAGCACTCGTCAATGTCTGTTTAGTAAGAACAAAAAGAGAAAAGAAAAAGAAATTTCAATTAGAGCAAAGTACTACATTCACCCAATGGAAGAAGCAAGTCTGTAGCATTCCCCAGTTTCACAGAAGTACTTTAATTACTAACACTTGACTTTTCAAAGTATGTTGTGATAGATTTTGGAATCTTTCCATAGAAGGTCTTGGCTGACTTGGCTGTCTGACATTGGAGGTTTTGTTAATCCTATTTATTGTTTACATATTAGCAACTCATTTTGTCATAATACATGATAGATTTTCTGTTTGCTGTGCAACAGATCATCTGATATCTTTGTATCTGTGTGTTATCTGCCTACAGTATAGAAAGGCATTAGGCTGTTTCCAGAGGTGAACTCATTGATGAGTGCAGGCTGCCTGATAAACCAAGACTGTTTCTGGGCATATCAAAACCATGTATCCTTAGTACTAATTTTTGCCTGTGGTGACACTGATTTTAGGTTACTAGAAATTCCCTGTCTTGTGGCACTCCTCTCGTCTTACATCAGTGCCTCTGCAGCCAATTATGTCAAGAATCAGCCTCTCCTCTTACTATCAGAAAGAACTGTCAGGATTCCAAGCATAGACACTTATAACCTAAAGATTTCCTTCAGAAAGAAGAAGCTCTGAAAAAGCCCTTTTTTGAGTTTGAATTCTGAGTAAACTCTCACGCTTTCACAAGCCCTTTTTGGCCATGACAGAACTCAATCAGAAATCTTTACAATTGGATATTAAAATAACAATTTAAGACTCAAATTGTTAAAAGTACATCAGACATTGATCTAGTATCCTCTGGGATGCAGGTACAATGAAAAGACATGAAATGACCATTGAAATTATATATATAAATACATTAGAATTCTGCTCATAGTGGCTGTTGGCTCCCATTTATGTCATCTGCTATTTTCATAGGAGAAAGTGTACACTGGCTGCAAAAATCAATTGTAAACCACAATTCTTTCTTCTGAGAATATTAGCTTGTAGGTAGAGCATACAGATATACGCACTCAAGTCTCCTACGATATTTGTTCAAAAACAAACTTTTAAAAGAAAATGAAGCCTTTTCACCTATCCAAAATGCTTCATCTCATGTTTGCAGGTAAAACGGTTAGTAAGTTTTTGGGAGACAGCTGCATACACTGTAAGGTATTTTCTCAACCATCTGCATTTGTTTTCAAGTTCTGTTTTTCTTACAGACTGTGAGGAATGGGACGTAATCTGTTCTGCGGTATTTTATTTACAAGCCAATAGGTCTCTGACACTTCATTTTATATTACAAGATAGATACAGTCATCTTAAAATGACCAGACATCTCGTCACTGTATTGGGTTTTAAAAGCGTTATAGTTATTTGAGGTAAATTCCTAAGAAATTTTCATGACAGTGTCAGTAATTACAGCTTTTTCTGTCAATAGTTTCTTTGCTAGGTGATTCTGGTTGAAATTATCAGTATTTATCATGATAAAACCAACAGTACTCTTGTTAGAGCTCTGAACCAAACAGATACATTTTTACCTCTGTGCATCAGGAATTAATTAATAGCTATTGATTGGTTTAAAGCACAGAATTTTCAACTCGACAGTGACTTCCAGGATAATCATATAATAACTCCTGATGCAGGACTAAGAAATGTCAAACCCTTACAACTCAGCATAAACTGGGCCTTTTCCTTGTGAGCAGGCACGACCCTGAGCTACAGAAGTAGCCCAGAGGAAAATCAATGAAAATTATGTTGCTGGAGTGAGAAAAGGTGGGTTTGCAGTCTAAGCCTTATCTACTAGTTTTCACTTATATACACATAGATTGTTATGTGTATAAATCAAATAAAAAAAAAAAGGAAGGGAAGGGAAGGGAAGGGAAGGGAAGGGAAGGCAAGGCAAGGCAAGGGAGAAAAGCCTACAATCTAGAACTTAGCATACCATGAGGGAATATGCAAAAAGATAGCTTCCTTGTTGGGGCATGATCTAAGTTACTTCACTAAAGGTGGGAGATCATCTGCTCAACAGAGGATAACGTGCTGAGGTTGGCCAAATCGATGAAGAGTGTAGTCTGAAACTGAAAAAGTAGAGAGCTCTTGTTCAGACCTTAATACTCACTGCCTTGTAACCCTCGTAAAACGCATTAGGACACTGGATAGCATATATTTCCCTTCTTGAAAGTGGAATTTATTTATTGGTGACGAGGTAGAGGAAAAAGTCTTATTTAGGTCAAAGTAACGGATATGAATTAAAGAAAGCTTGTGTTCCTCTCTTCAGAGCAATTTATTTGTGAATGTGTAAGCTTTATAATTATGAGCAGTGTGCTGCAGGCAAAGGCCAAATGCATTCTGATGAACTCACTGCTTATTCAGGAAAACAAACCTTGAATGTCATGTCAGTATTGGTAAACTGACAAACAAAGTAGCTCTTCTGTATTTATCTGACAAACCTATATCACAAGAAATATTACTTGGAATGAAACACTTCATCAGATGCCAATAAACAAAGAAATATATTCCCCTGGCTTTGTTATGGCTGCTTGCAAAGCTGCTGAGTGGAGTTACGTAAGAATGTCTATGGAAAAGTGCTGGTGGCAGCACACTGCTGGTCTTTAAGAAATATTCTTGACAGATTGTTTGCACACGAACCACTTCATCGGAACCACTCCTGCACTGGTGTTGAATAGTCCATTCTCCTTTAAATGCAGCAAACAAGATATCCCCCCAAACCTCCTCACCACTCACTTTTTATGCAAAAGATCTAACAGCATATGCTGATGGGTTTCAGAAAATAAATGTTAGGTACAAAATTTATTTCTAAATCTTCCAAGTAATGTTGATGGTTATCTCTTGTAGAGACTTGCACTGTAATGGCACAAAATAACTCTTGCAAATCTGCTAAACCAGAAAATGCAGCAGAAATGTGTTTTGTACAGCTAAAGCACTGATTTCATGGAAAATTTTCTTGACATTTGGATAAAAGGATTTCTATTTTCAAATGGGCATAGCATGGCTCAGGAAGTGCTGCGAAAGGATCTACAACTGAAAGGATCTTATTAGTATGGGCAAAGCAGCCAGAAATAATTTTTCTCTTTCCTATGGTGAAACGTCCTCCGATGAATCATGTTGCAGCTGCTCAGTCAGAGGTGTGAGCTGACAGGAGAAGAAAAACCGACTGAAGTTTTGCTTGGCCAGTGGCTACGGTATATCAGTGACTATATGGAACATTAACAGCACTAATGAAGTCCCTGTTTGATGATGTACTAGAAAGGCACAAAAAAAAAGAAATACTATTCTATAGCAGGAGGTTACTGAAAAGTGAAATATTTTCACTTTTGAAAGAAATTAAAGTTTCTAAGTAGAAGAAGTGACGGCCCTTTTTCAGTAGCAGGTATTTACAAGCAAATACACAAATTGGACATCTTATTCTGCATATGCAAGCTCTTTTCTTCTACTAGATAGAAATAGCAGTGGCAAAGGAGAAAAAAAAATGAAAGCACCTCATCGAGGAAGTAAAAAAGAGCCTCATCTGTGTGAAGGTTCAACGCGCGTGGTCTACAGCTTCTACACCGGTCTCATCAAAATTGATGGCAGAATTCCCACTGACTATCACAGAGGCAGTATTTTCTCCATTTTTTCTACTTTTGGTATAAACGCAAAATTGCACATACCAAATCTCCCAAATCTCACTGCTGAGTAGCCAGCTTCAAAACAAAAAGGAAAACTGACACAAGCTGGAAGTAACCTGCACCCCCCCAGGCTGGAGAGTTGCTCCACAACGGGCAGCGCAGCACAGCACTTGGGCATCTCCCGTCCTGTCCGGCTGCATTTCCACCCTGGGGAATTTGCAGGGCAGAAGCCTTGTGATTCCCGCTCTTGAAACCATGTGTCTGAAGAACACACACATATGACACTGGTGAGCACTACAAAACATCAGGAAAACATCAGGACTCCGTCTACGTTACAGAATTTGTGAATGTGCTCAAAGCAATAGCACGCATCTCCTACTGCCACAAAGCAGCGTAATTCAATATTACACATTCATGTTTCATGCAGTTTGCTTTTAAATTATTCAGTTTTTCCTCTGTGTGTTTTTCCTGAACTGAAATCAGCCAACGTGCTTATTTCCATATTATGCTGTCCATTTTTCAACCACGAAAAAAACCCTCAGATTTTTGCTAATTGAAGCCCCACTCTAATAAAATAGTCATAACACCCAGGGCTTTTTGAAAGTAAGGAGGATATGCAACTAGCTCGGCTCGAGATGAAAAAAAAAAAGACCTGCTCTCCCAAATCACCTTTTTTGCACCTCTGAATCACTCATTTCCTGAACTGTGGCAACAGTTATAGCTATTATACCCCTTGCTCTGAGGGAGACTGCGAAAACTCTGCTCCCTGAAGAGTCAAATAAGATCATTAGCAAATTATCCACCGGTACAGTATGAAAAAAGAAAAGCCAGAAGTCTGATGAATATTATTAGAGAATTTTTGTATAATAAGAGCTTTTGAAGATTGAAAGTGCTATAAAATTGCCAATTTGAAAGATAGCTGTGCTCTTTCATCCAGCGATAGGCCCAAGCTCTCTAGTGTGCCAAGCTGCACTCAACAAAGAACCACGGTGTGGGGGAAGAGGAGGGGCAGTTACACCATTTTACATTGCTCTCACTTAAAGACTGAAATATGAATCACCAAATCCTCCTCTCTAAAAGGTCTGTGTATCACCATCAAGCACAAAGTTACAGAGAGCACAATTCAGTTCTAAAATCTGTTCTTTCATAAACCTCTTTATCCAGTTCTAAACCAAAGCCTCAAAGTCCTTTCCATTCAAGAAAGAAACATCCACTGATTCAAAGTTGTGAATATTTAGAATTGAGTAATTTCCTTTCTGGAAGTTTTTTCTGGGACAGCATGGCATCTAGTAGTCTGCTAAGACTGCCAAGTAACAGACACTTCCAGTTGCAGTAACATCTGCCCCAGTGCTATCATCACCAGATAGATTTTTAAAGAAT